AGAGGCTGTGAGGCTCCAGCTGGGCTGGATGGCTTGTTTTCCTATGCTGGGACAAATCTGGTGGAGATTAGGAAGCATGTTGTGTTGTCAGCCTGGGCCTCTGGCTGCACAGTCAGTCAGACATATGGCAGAAATTACCAGTGGAAGATGGAGATTACCAGTGGATTAGGGCTGATTCACAGCCCCGAGCAGAGCTCTTGTGTCCACGTCGTCCTGGGTTCGGGTGCAGCTGGTCTGGGGAACACTTGCCTCACTCGGGCAGTGCCGGGAGCCGGCCTGCGCTGGTCTGCTTCCTTCTGCCCGGCAGCAAGGATTTGCCAGCAGCTGCTTGTCTGCTGGACCCGAGGAGCCAGGCCACAGGCAGCTCCTCACCCTGCGTTGCCTGTTGGCAGCTTGTCTCTGCCCGTTCCTGCCCTCTGCCATCGTTGTCAGGAGCGGGATGGGTCAGGGCATCTCATCTGACTGGTGGTGGGCAGAGGGGTCTGGGCAGCAGCCACTATAGAGCAGCTTCTAGGCAGTCCTGACTCTCTTCATGCCACTGCCAGATCTGCACATGGCCATGGCCGTGGGGTGCTCGCTTTTGTAGCAGTGGTGTGGCAGAGGTGCTGTAGCCCAGGGCGCAGGCTGTGGCTCGGGCCGGTCTGCACCTGCAAGCACAGCTCGGTCTGCACTGCCAGCTGCTGCGGCTCACACTGTGACCATCCAAGCGAGGCTGAGAGGAGCCTTTGGTGAGCTCCTGCCCAACGAAACGCCACAGGCCAGAGCCCTGGAAGCAGGCTGAGGTGCTCTCCTTGCTGGAAAGGTTGGAAGTGCGAGCGGTGGACAGCCCACAGGCCTGAGCCCGCAAAGTTAACTGATGATGCTTTTGTTCCCACCCTCCCGCAGTGGTGATCTGCAGGTTTCGGGGAGCGCCCACTGTCCGTTCAGCACGGCACAGAAAGCAATTGGAAAAGACAATTTCACAGCGATCCCAGAAGGGACCAACGGCATAGAGGAGCGAATGTCTATCATCTGGGACAAGGCAGTGGTAAGAGTCACCCCAGGGAGAGGGCAGAGCAGGCAGGCCTGGTGGGTGCCTCAGACTCCCATGGTCTTGCCCCTGCAGAGCTGAACACCGCACTGCCTGTCTCCTCTCTGCCTCTGAGAGTCAAAACAAGCCAGAGCAGGAGAGGCAGCTGTCACAGGTTCAGGGGGAATAGCCAGGAGCTGTGACTGTGCGCCCAGTTTTCAGTCTCTCTGGTGCCAATAGTGGGATCAGCCACAGTGTCTGGGCCCCACCAGCCAGTGGCTTTTGTGGGAGTGAGTCCAGTGCTTCCCGGGGCTCTTACTCTCTCTTTCCCCAAAGAGCACTTAGTTCTCTTTGTGTCTGAGCAGGCCACGGGAAAGATGGATGAAAACCAGTTTGTGGCTGTGACAAGCACTAATGCTGCAAAAATCTTCAACCTGTACCCACGGAAAGGAAGAATAGCGGTGGGCTCCGACAGCGATCTGGTGATATGGGATCCTGATGCAGTGAAGATCGTCACAGCAAAAACCCATCAGTCTGTAAGTCCTCTGCTCGTCTGTGGGAATGCTGGAGGGTGGGATGCGGGTAGCACGCCTTGAAGGCTGGCTGGCTGCTGGGAGCTTGGCGCTGCCCTGCTTTGCTAGGCTCTGAGGAGGAGGGAGGGAGTCCAGGCTCTGGGCAAGGCCAGCCATGGTGTGGGGTAGGATGTCTGTGAGGCCTGGGCTCTGCACATGGGGCTTTTCTTACCCTGCTCTGATGCCCTTCTGACCATGCCCTGTGCAGGTGTAAGGACACACACTTCTCTTTATCTGGGTTCCTCTTCCAGGTGCAAACCTTCCCTGGCTTTGCCAGTGCTCTTTGTTCATGCCTTACCTCAAGCTTAGGTCTTGCCCTCCTCTGCTGTTGGAGTCCTTGCTCACACCGAGCTCTGATGCAGCAGGTCCTGGTTCATGTTGGGAGTTCCGGTGGGTTCTTAGTGTGATGGACTAATGAAGTAAAGGAGGCCTCTGGGGCAGGCAAGGCTGTTAAAGGTGTCCTCTCCCTCCTCTGGTGACTTCAGCAATGAGGTGAGGGGACTAAACAGCTCTGAGTAGGCAGGCAGGGCTCACGTCTCTCCTGACTGTCGCCCCTGATTACTGCAGGCAGCTGAATACAACATCTTTGAAGGGATGGAGCTACGTGGTGCCCCACTGGTTGTCATATGCCAGGGGAAGATCATGCTGGAGGATGGCAACCTGCACGTGACCCAGGGGACTGGCCGCTTCCTGCCCAGCAGCCCTTTCCCTGATTATGTCTACAAGCGCATCAAAGCCAGGAGGAAGGTAAGGAGACTGGTTAGGGTTGGGGGTTGGTTAGCTCAGTCGGTTAAAGCATGGTGCTGATAACATCAAGGTTGCAGGTTCAATCCCTGTTCGGTCCCCATGTGTTGCCTGATCTAGTTGAGAGGCGCCCCTGCCCGTGGCAGGGAGGTTGGATTAAATGATCTCTGAGGTTCCTTCCAGCCTAGGCCATTCTATGATACTGTGATTCTATGATTCTATGAGACAGGGAAGCCAGGAGACTGCATTGGGACACTCTTAGCCAAAATTGCCCTTTTTCATAATAACTGGTTGGTTTTCCTCTGCTGTTCTTGCTGGACCCCGGAGACACTGCCACAGACTGGTGTATTTTGAACCTACAGTTGGGATGGTTAAGGCTTGGACACTTAGACCCTCATGTTGATGGTGTGCCAGCACTGGAGGCCGATGCTCAGCTGGGTCAACAGTGGATGGTGGCTGCCCTTGTTGCTGTCCTGCTGCAGCAGGAGTCTGAAGGGAAGTGCTGGGTTAAAAATGAGGAGACTGGGCAAAACGGCCTTCTTCCTCATCCATGCAGCACAAACCCGTGCTGAGGGATTGCCTGTTTGCAGGGTGTCAGTGAAGAGAGGCCATCACACAGAAGTCGGGCAGTGGGGCTGTGCCCTCCTGCACTGCTGCAGGGAGGCCTTGGGCACACAGCACAGGGTGGGACGGGACTGGCAGCATGAATTACCTCTGCAGTGGGACTGGGGAGCTGAGGATCCCTGGAGCATGATGCTGCCATGGCAGGATGATCCCTGGAAGCAAAGTGTCACTGTCCTCTTCCCTCTGGTGACAGATGGCGGAGATGCATGCTGTGCCCCGAGGCATGTATGACGGACCCGTGTTTGACCTGACCACCACTCCCAAGGGGGGCACCCCTGCGGGGTCAACTAGGGGTTCCCCCACACGGCAGACACCCCCTGTCAGGAACCTCCATCAGTCTGGATTCAGCCTGTCAGGTGAGCACACATGGCATCTGGCCTGGGAGAGTGCAGAGCCACCGGCCACACTGGCCAAGGTGGGGGGCAGCGGGAAGGTGGCCTGGGGCAAACTGAGCACAGGAGCAGAGCATGGCAGGGTGGGAGCCTGTGTGTCCCTTTACAGACGTGGCTGGGACCTTGCGGTAGAACCAAGGAGACACTGGCCACAGAGGTGCCAGGGCAGCATCAGGCCCTGCTCTTGCAGCGTGGGTCTGTTCAGAGGAGCATCTACAGAGACTTTCAAACGCCTGCTGCTCATGGGTCGTTACTGGAGTTGGAGAGGGAGCAGGTTGCTGTAGACAGCCTCGGGCAGCCCTTTGGCAAGACCCCAGGCTGCTTGGCTGCTCAGTCTTGTGAAGAAAATGCTCTTAACTTTGCTTTCTCCCTTCCCTTTGTGCTTTCTTGTCCTCTCCCAGGTACCCAGGTTGACGAAGGTGTTCGCTCAGCGAGCAAGCGCATCGTTGCACCCCCGGGAGGCCGCTCCAACATAACCTCCCTGAGTTAAATGTCCCTGCCGAGAAGGAAACAAAGTCCCTGTTCAAGCGAAGGAAGAAAATGGTACATTGGTGTCTAAGAAGGAAAAGCAAATAAACCTGTTCTGAAGAATCGATAAGCCTCAAGCCTTATGTTTCACAAATGCTACTTGCTACCTAGCTTTAAAGATATTGCTTCCTTTTGTTTTATGCCTAGCCTTAAAATTCTGTTGTTGTTGTTGTGCGTTTGGTCGGGTTGTGTTTTCACTCTTCCTTTCTGTATGCATGCCGCTCGGACAGGTTGCTCGGTTCAGTGTGGTGTTCGTGTTGAACGCGTGTGGGATGCTGTGGTGTGGGACAGCGAGATCAGCCGGCGTAGGTGACCTGGCCAGGCAGACCAAGTGGCAGGGGCCAGCTGGAGGCGCGGCGTGGGACAAGGGGGCAGGTTCACAGGAGCTGGTGGGGTCAGGTGGGTCTGTGTCATGTTCATGTCCTTCGTCTCCACCCAACGGTTGTTGGCGTTACACCACGATGCCTGTGGGGGAGCCCAAATCATCTCTGTAACAGCTGTCACAGCACCTCGTATAAGGAGTTTTACTACTTTGTACACTTTATTAAAAAAAAAAAGTTGTTCCTTCAAACAACTCATGCTGCTGGTTGGCTTTTTTTCTTCCTCGGGCTGCTGCTGGGCAAGGGTGGTGTGAAGCTGCGCCCTGTGGGCAAGCAGGGCTCCAGGAGGGGCTTTGGGCTGAGTTTGAGCTGGAGGAGCTACAGCGCAGGGACAGGCACTTGTGCGGTGCTCGCTGCTGCAGGTGTCAGGGCACAGGTGGAGCTTCTCAGGTAAAAGCAAAAGTATCGGCCAAACGGCTTGTGGCAGCGTTTGCGAAAGCCCGTTCAATTTGTCTCTTCAGCCCTAATGGGCTGTTACGCCCGGTGGGAGCCGTGCCTGTCGCCTGAGTGGGGACAGAGACCAGCTCCGCGTGGCGCTGCCCAGACACCGTGCTCGGGTTCCCCCACGGAGGCTCCTTGGAGCTTGTTCTTTGTGGGTACCAGTGAGTTAAGTGCTCCCCTTCTATCGAGTGGTGTTTATCAAACTGAGACCCACGGCCTTCTAAAACTAGCAAAGTATGTGACAAAAAACTTAGTTGTTTTTTAAATATTACAAAAATTAAGTGTCCGCGTAGGCTGTGCTAAGTAAATACACTCTTTTTTTTTTTTCCTTCCTTAAGTATTTGACCTTGAAATATTTATTTTTACATGCCTGCAGCTCAGACAGGACAAGTTGTCCGTGCAGCAGCCCTTAAGGGGCCATGCCAGAATAGTTGTGCCGGGTCTGGGGAAGGCTGTTCATACTTTCAATTTTTGTGAAGTTCTGCCATCAAGTAATTAAAGATTTTTCTCTGTTGCCTGGTAGTGATTAAGCTGAGACTGTGCCTCTTTTTACAGTGGAAGAGGGGAAAGGAGAGATGATTTTACAAGTCTTGGGGGAATTTTTAAAGATGCGGTGTTCTTACTGTTTAAGTTTTCGAGTTTGGTTTGTTTGTGGGGTTGTTTGTTTTTTTTTTGTCAGCCAGTACAACAGTGTTTATGCAGCAACAGATTTTTTTTCCCCAGCAAGGAGCAGGGCTAGTTTCCTCGTCTGGGGCCCCAGATAAAGACATTTATGGTGTAGGAACCTCTCCACTACCTGCACCAGAGTGAGGCCATGATAGCTGTGCGCTGAGCCAGGGACAAGTGCAACTGTTGGCACCGTCCCTCCTGACCGTGCCTGGCCCCAGACCTGGTGTAGGACTGGTCATGGAGGCTGCATGGAGAACTCTGCAGGGACATGGGCCAGCCTTGCTGGCAACGACAAGTCCGAAGGCAGAGACACAGAGGCCCCTGCCCTGCTCATCAGTCTGACTGCTAGAAATCAAGGATGGCTGGGGAAGGGGAGAGCAGTAGCACAGCCATTCTGATCTGAGTGTGCTGTGACCTAGCAGGAAAAGGGGTTTTCCCATGGCAACGATCCGTTTTGAGGACTCCAGTATTCCACTCAGCTTCACAGCTCCCTGCACAGACACAGACAGACACATGCATTCTTGCCAGCTGCACGAAGCAGGGCACAGTGAGTGCTGCAGCCCTCGCCCAGAACTTGCTTCCCTGTACCACGGCACGTCCTGTGATGGCAGTGAAGAAAGTGCTCCAGTCCTCTAAAAGTGGGGCGCTGCTTGTCTTTGTTGTACAGGGGTGAAGGTACGTGCTGTCATGGCCCCACATCAGGAAGAGGATCCCATGCCTTGGATTTGGGCACGCTCGGGAGGTGCTCCTGTCCCAGCAGACCCAGGGATAGCTGCGTAAAGCACACACTTCCCACAGCAAACCAGCCAGCCATCGTCAGCTCAGTGAGAGAGGGGTCATTTGTGTTGGTGTATCAGAAGCAGCTACGACAACCGCTGAGATGTCTGCTGCACACAGTGTGAGTCGGTAACGGACAGTGAATCCACAGCTCCATAGACCAAGGGTGCCTGAAAGTCTTCAGCCAGGGAAAAGCAGAGTTAAACTGAGAGTCCAGTAAAGCCTAGTGGGCTCTAGGCAGGAGGAACATCCATTCTGCATTGCTGTGCAGGTGGCCTCAGAAGTAACATTGACTTTTGGTCTGGGAAGGAGCCTTTCATTCGCTCTTGGTTTTATTCAGATTTTTTTTTGCATTTATCAGATTTAGCCATAGAGAAAGATACACAGAGGAAGGCACAGGGATACAAAGAACACCTTTGGGTGGAGGGGAGGCAAATGGTTCATCATGTATTCATTATATTGCTGAGAATAAGAAAAATGTCAAATAAGGAGGTGAAACAAGAGGTCTGCCAAAGCAGTTAAATGGTAGTGTCATTCCCAGCATTACCATAATAGAATCACAGAATGGCCTAGGCTGGAAGAGACCTTAGAGATCATCTAGTCCTATCTCCCTGTCATGAGCAGGGACGCCTCTCAAATGTTTTGTCCAATTTCAGTCTTGGCAAAGCCACACCAGGGGTATAGCAGTTCCTGTAAACAGCAGCTGTTTAACTCAAGTGTGATTTCAGTAATAGAGAGATTAAAAATACACGTTCGAGTATTTGGAACATCCTGGTGTTGGAAGCCAAACGCCTCCCATTCTGTGAGTTGCAGCAGTTTAATGTGGAGGTGAATGGGTTTTTCAGGCTAGCCTGGAAAAGCATCTGGATACCAGTTATTCACCGGTGGTTACTCTCCTTTTCCACATCTGGCTGCGTGCTCTGGCGACCCACCATGCCAGCCCTGCTCTGCGAGAAATGGCCCATTTGGAGAGAAACAGGAGCCAGCAGAGAGAGAAGGGGGAAGGATGGGAAACCTTTGCTGCCTCCTCCCAGCTAAGGCCAGAGCTCGTCGCCACCGCCAGCCCCCTGTGCCCACGCTCCACTCACGGGGTGTTTGCAGGAGGCATCTGTAAGCAAAGGCCACCTCTCGCTGTGCTCTCGTGGAGATCCTGCAGAGCCCAGAGCAGCCTCTTCCCTCCGGAGCGACCAGCCGTG